ACTAGTAGCAAGGACGCTACGAACGTAACAATTCGCATCGCTACTAGAAGCAAGGACGCTACTAGGGGCGCTCCTGGCCATACTACTAGTAGCAAGGACGCTACGAACGTAACAAATCGCATCGCTACTAGGAGCAAGGACGCTACTAGGGGCGCTCCTGGCCATACTACTAGTAGCAAGGACGCTACGAACGTAACAATTCGCATCGCTACTAGGAGCAAGGACGCTACTAGGGGCGCTCCTGGCCATACTACTAGTAGCAAGGACGCTACGAACGTAACAAAGCGCATCGCTACTAGGAGCAAGGACGCTACTAGGGGCGCTCCTGGCCATACTACTAGTAGCAAGGACGCTACGAACGTAACAAAGCGCATCGCTACAAGGAGCAAGGACGCTACTAGGGGCGCTCCTGGCCATACTACTAGTAGTAAGGACGCTACGAACGTAACAAAGGGCATCGCTACTAGGAGCAAGGAAGCTACTAGGGGCGCTCCTGGCCATACTGGCTGTACTTTAAGGGCAGGCTGTTTAGGCTGTTTGATGATTTTGAACCAATAATAAACATCAACCTTTCAGTCTGAAAGGCGGTGAGGTAGAGCGGTTGACAGGCAAACTCAAAAATCATCAAAGATCATTAATTAATTTCTGACAGAAGTCATTAATTAATTAACAACGTCAAGTCTGAAGTCATTAAGTTAATTATCAACGTCAATGTCTGAAGTCTGAGTCTGAGTGTGCTTAGTTGGCTTCTGGTGCTTGATCCTTTTTGCTTGCGTTGGCTCAACAGCGTCGCAACGGGGGCTGCAGATTTGGGTGCGAGGCTGCTTCTGCAATCTGTATGCGGACCTGTCTGTCATCGTTGGTGAAACTCTCGACAGGTGACATGGCCATGGATCTCTCGACGGCTGCGGAGAAGACGGCGGAGGACTGCTTTCATTTGCCCTATTTGCATCCTTTTGTCCATCTGCACTTTGATTCAGGATGTCGAGCGTCTTCTTCAGCTCAACAAGAGCTGCCTCACGGTGGGTCTTCATCTTAAATGCTTTGTTGATGAGACACCTTAATTAACTTAATGATTCGTTTCCGTTACTAAGACTTCGCCATGAAGCTGGCTGCGCACCACATGAAGCGGGAGCTCTCCGAGGATGAGGCTTGAGGATGAATAACGACGATGAGAGGGTCTTTAATTGTTTGGTTGTCTTTGGACAGGAGCAGGTGGTGTTCGAGGCGGTCTCCAAGAAGATGGGCCAGCCTGTGAAGGCCTTTGCAGCGCCTTGCCTGAGACAGAACTTGTTTAAAGTGATTAGATACTCAAAATTGCTAACTTACTCTGACTGGCCAGCTCCAAAAGCATCATCATTCTATTATAGTTCTTGGTTCTTTGAATTACGATTCAAGAGCTTAAGAGTGACAGCCTTGCTGGTGATAAGGTGCCAGATGACATGGCAGCAAAATCTGAGGCCTGAACTCATTCATTTTTGGAATGTATCCCTGACACAGTGGTTTTGTCAGAGATTTGACTGGGCAGGGCAAAGAGAAGATCCTTGTCTGCGAATCCTGCAAGAAACGCCATAGCCTCAAGACAAAGTCTAATGCAATTAGCTTGACCAGCTTAAACGCTCCATCGGGTGACCAAGTCGGATGACATTCAAAACTAAAACTCGCGACCAAGGAGTCTGCGAGCACAACAAAAGGAAGGCTGGGTTTGGCCAGAGCGTTGTCTGTGTGGTTGAGACTCTGCACTTGCGACATACTATATAAATAAAGTGGAGACTCATCATGAGTAGAAACCAAAAGTCACTCTGAGTATTGAAGTTTTCTCTTTACTTCAAGTAAATTTCAGTTTGAGTCTTCCTGTCCAAATTCCAAATCATAATGTCATCGTTGTTGAAGCAAAATAGTTGGGTTTGGTTGTCATTATTCATTGTCATGCTCGCAGGCGGCCGGCAGCTCAGACGATCAGCCTGCGGAAGCTGAGCAAGGACCGTTGTTGTCAGTCGCTGTGGGGTGTTGCAAGGGAGGAGTCGCAGTCGACAAGTTGTTGTGGCCTGATTGGTTCTGACAGCAGTCATGTCACGTGACATGTTGCAGACAAGTTCGTCACGCCGCTCATGCCTCTGCGATGTTTACCTATCGAGACCCATCGTCATGTCATGTCATGTTCCTCAAATTGGGAATTTGCACAGACTCAACAGCCCAACGACAGGTATCAGGTAACTAAACAGGTATATATCAACAAACTTAAATCCAAGAATAATAAGACAGGTGTCAAACAAACTGAACAGCCCAACGTTTTCAAGTGAGACAGTTGCACTTCAATTTCCAATTTAACTGTCCTCGTCTTGTCTTAGACTGTTGAATGGAAGCCCCGAAGAGCGTTGCTTCCTCGCACCTTCGAAGCGATCTGCGGGGCTTAAAGCGGGCTACGCAGCAATCGCTCTACGTGCTGTTCAACATCGACACGGCGGGGGGCTACAAAGTTGGTGTCGCTTGGCAAAGCTTTTGAAAATGATGATGATGATGCAATCAACGAACATAAGAAATTCAAGTGCACTATTAGTTTAAGTCCGATCATTGTTGATTTGACTGTCCCAGGAAGAAGTTCAAAACCACCGATCCTTCCAACCCAGACTCGTGGGTTGTATCTTCGGTGGAAAACAGGATTGTGGAGCTCTTTGGCCAATGCTATTATTTTTGCACTTTGCATCACTTGATATTTTTGCACTTTGCATCACTTGATAGTCTGTTTTTGAATGACCTTTCACTTAGGCTTATCAGCGAACATGCAAACGCCTCCCAAGCTTCTGGATCTTCATCGAAAGGCCGGTTGCACATGATATTGTCATCTCAATCAGCGGGCCCTTCGATCAGATAGTGTGCCCATTGTCACGCAGGCACTACAGGTCAGATCCCGGTGCAAGTGGCCGGCAGTGGTGACGGTGATGGGCTGGAGCTCTAAGAAGCACCTGACAGTGTCAAGGCAGCAGTTAAAATGACATGGCATCAGAAAGCAAGCAAGTAAGAAAATATGGGCAGCTTGTTCAGATAATGATGTTTGAGGCCCGGTCGACCTTCACGATCGACGATGAAGAAATCCAGAACCCTACGAGTCTGGCCTTCATCTTGCAAACTACATTGGTCAACTTGGAGTTCTTTATGCCCTCACAGGTCGAGCGCCTTGCCAATGACTTGCTATTTACTTGTTTGAAGGTCATTGATTGAAATTATGTAGCTTCATCATCCTCATCATGATCATCATCCATTGCGACTTGATTTTCGTAAACTGTTAGTGGCAAACTCCGTTGAAGATCACATGAGGTCAAAAGGAAAAGGACGAGGCTTCCGTGGTGGTCCCAACAGTGGCTTTCACGTCATGGTCCTGGAGAATGCTCCTTGGATTAATTCGGCTGTTCAATTGTCAACCACTCAGCTTTAAACTCTAAAGTTTGCAGCCACTTCAGGTTTGCCGCCACCCGTTCTTTTTGCCTTCCATCGTGCACGCCATGAACAATCCAGCAGAGCTAATATTAGTGAACTGCGCACAGGGCTACCATCGTACGCCTGCGTTTTGCGTGCTGTTGTGGATGCTGCTCCTGGCCACTTCGCTGCATGAAATTCAGCTTAACGCATGTCATCATCACTGAAACTCGCGTCATCATCACTGAAGTTCGAAAACCATTATTGGACCAATCAAGGTCATGGGCGTGACTCCGACCATCTATGTTCCTTCGGCTACAGTGTCCGACAGGAGGTGGCAAGATGATGCGCTGGAAGCTGTGCAAAAGCACCGGCAGCTTTGCAAGATGAAGCACGAGGACCGGCTACTTTGCTCACTTATTGGTTAAAAGTGTTTAAACTACAGTCATTCAGAATGAAACAGTGAGGCCTTTTTACAACGACAATCGATTCAATTGCAAAACCAGCGATCTAAGGTTGAAGGCATGCCTGGACATGGTGGAAGAGAAAGCGAAGGACTTCAAATCGATGCTCGAGCCATCCTTCCTGGATCTGGCTTGCAAAGCCTTCGACATCCTCAGCAGGATGCATCCCACGTTGAGCCCCGGCTGCACTTATTAACATAGACTCTGAATGCCTTTTGTCAATCAACACACCGCCTTCAGATTCATTGCGCAAAGCTAACTCCCTCAGGATCGAAGATTGCAAACCTTCGCCTGCCCTGCTGCTGGAACAGACCAAGGCGGCTGTGGAGGCCAAAAAGCGGCCCTCGCCACCGGCCGATGACGATGGTTTGCCACCTTGGAGGAAGGCTCGGTTGGAAGGCGGCCGGGTGATTGATCTGGATCCTGTAGTTGAGCTCGCTCCCTTCAAGTCCAAGCTGGCGGGCTATAACAAGGATGGCCAGCTGACTTTGAATCCTGTAGTGCGCCTGAGCTTGACAATGAGTTTGATGATAATCAGTCAGTCAGTCATCGCTGTTGTAAAGGTCATTTCTTTTGCATCATTCCGGCGTCCAAGGAAGGAAGCTCTGGATGATTGCGAGGTCAACGAAAATGTCCAGATGTATTATGCACAGCTCCTGGCATCCACGCGTCTTGGAGAACTACGTGGGTCACGGCTTTTGATGCTTAGCGCAACTCCTGTTGAACTGGTTGACTGCGACAATGATTCAATGAGTCCAGTTGGGGTTTATGACTGCTGACTGCGTTTACGTGCTGAGGATGAAGCTGATCAAGAGCAATGCGTATGATCATCGCATCAAGAACGGCAGCAGATGGTTGCTTGACGCCGTCAGTCACTAGGCTACGTTATGTTTGAAAAGTCGTTGACTCACTCAGTCGTCGTTGCTGCAACAAAACCATCATCATAGTTGATGAACCTCCTAGCCCGTGCCAAGGTGAGGCCATGCAGCTTGATGA